GGGGGGGTCATCACTGCAGCTATTGCTATAGTTTTGTATATTGCTACTACATAGGAAAGTGCAACATAGGACATGTGAGGTTGGTACCTTCTAGAGCTGTGTCGCCGTCCCGACATTGACGCTCCTCGCGTTGCTTCGCAAAGTGCTACGGTACTCTCATCGCTCACAATGGGTAAGTGCTTTCTGCATACTAATCTGAGACTTCTCCCTTCATGTACGTGTTATTTGCTGAATACGCGGTGACAGCGAGCTCGGGAAGGAATTGGCAAAGGATTTGTTCGTATTTCAAACAAAATAGTTCGTAGGCCTAGGAAACCTCCTACCCTTTCTCCGTGAGCTGCGAAGCAAAGCATTTCCTTCGCAATTGAGTTATGGTCAATTATTTCCCTGATCAATCCGCATTTCCTTAGTACAGTGTTTTGAGTGCAGGACTCATTAATACGGTTTCTTATGGGCGGTACAGTAAACAAGTAGGGCATCCTTGCCTCATCTTAAACGTGATTTTGTACTTTTCCTGTTCTTTGGTTCAGTATTTTTTTATCGGTCATTCATACAGTGGTTAAGCAGTCATGCGGCGGTTCTCCAGAAAGTCCCGTAAGAGATAATAGTCTATAAACATCCCAACACGGAAAAAAAGAATTTGTTCCCACATCTAACGATTTAGTTAACATAGACGAAACAAACAATTTTAGTTGCAGAAGCAAAGAATTTGCTATGGGAAGCAAAATTCTGCCGTCACAATTGACGCGTCGCTATGGTAACAAATGCGTTTGTTGTAAGAAAAAATCCTCGTTTAGTAACCAGAACAGTTGCATTTGTTACCATAATGCGACGCGTTAGTTGTGGCAGCGGAATTTCGGTTCCCATAGCAATTTTTTTGTTCCTGCAACTAAAAATTATTTATGTCTATGTTAACAAAATCCGTTAGTTGTGGGAGCAAATTCTTTTTTTCCGTGAATCAATGGACAGTACAATTTTGCCCAAAAAAAGATGCATGGCGTTGCCTTGTAAAAACAAACGTTCTACCTACGGTGAAATAACAGCTTGGATTTTACAACATGGTACGATACGGTATGATCACAACATCTCACCGTTATTTTAACCGTAGAATATGACTTCAATAAAAAGGGAATAGCCGTAATTTTTTATCCTTTAATAGAAATTCTCCTTTTAAATGACCCAATGGAAGTCTTTCCATTGGACGTCTCAAGTCCATATGGAAAGGAACTAATTGTAATTCCACACTGGAAATGCAAGTGTACAAGTGTCGCTCACTTGCAGGTGGGCAAATAAGGATTCGCACACATTGAATGAGATTAGGATGTAAATGATCATTTTGTGACAATTAAAGTTGAGCGCGGGTGACTATTTTCTCTGTTTGACCTCCAGAACATATCTCACACATTGCATTATAGTACAGCTCTCTTACCCACTGCTTATAACAAGGTAGATGTACGCCAGACCACGTCTCGCGTAACAGGCTTCGCGATACCTCACGAAACACTGTTACGCTGCGACGCGCCTGGCATACATCTACCTTGGCCTGCGGCGCTGACACCCGAGTCAGGTAGTGCAATAATGTGCACAAAGATACGGGCCTCCGGCCCGTCAACGCCCGTCAGTTCGACTAATCATGCAGGGTTGTACATTTTTTCGCTTATTTTCGCCAAAAACACCCTCTAGTGCCTCAACGGTTTGAGCTAGAGCAAAACGGTCAAAATTTTTGCCCAAAGGGTTCTACTTTGATGCGTTACACCTTAGGAGACCATAAAAAAATATTTTTAAAAAACGTCATTTTTTGGACCTGTTGTTTTTGTTTTTTTTTAAAATCCAATTTTTGAGCTAGAATGCTCATCTTCGAACTCGACTTGTCTTTTGAAGGTACAAAACGACCCTGAAAATCCCAGGTCGCTCGCTCAATTCGTTCTCGAGTTATCGTGCGGACAGACACACACACACACACAGACAGACAGACAGACAGAAAAAGTTTTTTCCGACCAGACGGAGTAATAGGCTTCGCTAATCGCTCAGCCAATAAGTCAGGTGGCTACGCTGCGGTCTTGCTCACAAATTATTTACCAACGCCTGAATAAGTCTGTTACGTGTGCAAATTGCCAGGCACCATTTGAATAATGTTTGCAGTGTTCCATAGTGTTGGTATATTCAGGCTCCACCTGCCTTAGACGACAGGTAACAACTTACTTGGGCAACAATACAAGTTGTAGAGAAAAGTAATCCATGGCATTGACTTCATAACCCCAATCAGAGCCTACATTTGCAGGAGTAGTTTAACCCACTGGCTCACGTAAAACGTATCAGTTTTCCACAAAGAATGAAGCACAAATTTTAGGCGGTCATAATTCAGTAACTGCACCCACTGACATCACAGTGTTCAGCACAGAAACTGAAGTTAAAGGTTGAATAGAAACGGCAACTTTAGTCAGCGCCGACGCCATGTCTGTTGGTCGAAGTCGGACTGCTTTTGTTTTGTGTTTTGTCTGAGGTGAGGCGAGGGGGGGGGGGGGCAGACGCGCAAGATAGACGTAGTTCTCAGTTGGTGGCGCGCTCTAGCCTGCAGGTGGGGAGGTTGTGAATGAAGAATGCGGGGAACATGATCAAGCATGTCACCAGCAGAGTGGATTTACCGGAATGCTTTAATGTGAAACTCGGAACTGTTTTGACAAGAGGTGGCGGCCCTTGCCGTGAAGACGGACAAGAGCAAGGCCACCCGGGACGCAGAGATCGTGAGCTCAAACTCGGACCTGCTGCACTTGCTAGGCTCGCCGGAGTCCCCCGCGGCCACGATTCACGTCACCCCACTCCCACTGGCCCCCGTGCCGGTGTCCCTGCCGCCAGAGACGGCACCCCTGCGCCCACGGCTTCCCATGATCCGAGAGAACAGCGTGTAACCCAAGGAGTAGCCCAAGCAGGGCACGCTGCTGGTCAGTCTGCCCGGCTAGCAGGCCGACTCCAACCTGGCATCCTCTGCCGCCATGTCCCCGTCACCAGTTCGGTTTCACAGCGCCCCGGACATGGCCGGCCGCCGTCGGCGTCCCCGCGCCCGCGCTCCGGGCCGGGAGCGCTCCGAGCTGAACAAGCTCCTGATTGGCCAGGAGAAGGCTGCGCGATGGGTCCTAGGAATAAAGGCCGATGTTCCGCGCGTCTAAAACAAAGAGGCCGATGTCGCGCGCTGCTTTTTAAGAAGGTCCGATGTTTTGAGCGCCGCGCCGTTTGGACATCGGACCTTTTGATTTCAGTGAAATGCGGGCAAACCATTGGGAATACGTGGAAAGTACTTAACACATAAACGGAGGACAAATGTTCAGTCTACATTTTAGGTCTTGGGAGTTTTCGTCATATTTCGCATGGTTTGCCCGTATTTTACTGAAAGGAAAAGGTCCGATGTCCATTCCGCGCGGCGCTCAAAACATCGGACCTTCTTAAAAAGCAGCGCGCGACATCGGCCTTTTTGTTTTAGACGCGCGGGACATCGGTCTTTATTCCTAGGACCCATCGTGCGGCGCCAGCCGGCCGAGCGCCCCGATTCAGAGAGGTCTCGTTTAGTGCCGTTTAGGACGAGCGGTCGGGGTTGGGGTCCGACGCTGGCTCCATCCGTCACAACCAGCAGCCGCAGCCCCAGAGCGTCGTGGAGGCCAGCCGCGCTGGCCGCGCAGAGCTAGAGGCCGGGCACCGTTGTGCCAGATGGAGCCGACGGCGAAGAACGTCCAGCACCTCCAGAACAGCCGGAGGGTTCCTTGTAAGTATTCATATGCCTAATAAGGACACCTCATCTGCATGAGGTGTCACTTATAGCTTCAATTTCACTTAGTTAAACTTACTGTACTGAAACTCAGATCCGTGCACCTAAAGCACTTTTGTGTCACATTGTGTAAAACTGCAATGTTTTAAATTAAACTTTTGAATATGGATATCAGTTCAAGAAATTATCCTGAACTAGGGAAAAATATTTATTGACGTATGCTTTTACAAACTCTATGCGTGGAAGCAAAAATGCTAGCAAATCCTTTCAAGTCTGGACCTTTATACAGGTTTGCCATGCTTAAAATTATTAAACCTCATCGTATTCAATTGTCTATCAGTTTCTTATGACTTGACACTAAATAGAACTACTTTATAAAATATCAGGGTTCCGTCTCAAACTTGAGACTAAAATTTTGAATTTTTAAATGCTAAATGATGTGAAAACCTTAAATGTTTTAAATTTAACTTTTAAATGGGGATATCAGTTCAGAAAATTGTCCAGAACTTGGGAAACATATTCAACCCAGGAAGGACCTGTAATTTTCCTTCAAAAAACCATATATTTAACTTGTTCGAACAAATATGACAATCTACGTTGGTTTGGCTATCTGAAAGTTATTAAACCTCATCGTATTCAATTGTCCATCAGTTTCTTATAAGCTAACATAGAATTACTTTACAAAATATCAGGGCTCCGTCTCAAACTTGAGCCTAAAATTTTGAATTTTCAAGTGCTAAATGATATGAAAACCTTAAATGTTTTAAATTGAATTTTTAAATGGGAATATCAGTTCAGAAAATTGTCCTGAACTTGGCAAAAATATTCTTAGAAGTAAGGTTTTACAAACTCTATCCGTGGAAGCCAAAATGCTACCGAATCCTTTTAAATCTGGACCTGTATATTGGTTTGTCATGCTGAAAGTTATTAAACATTATCGTATTCAATTGTCCATCGGTCCACTATTAGGTGACACTATTTAGGACCACTTGTAGCAGTTAAAGAATATAGTATTGTACTGTTATTCTTGTATTTTCATTCTACATTATTTACTGCAAGAACATATTATTACACATTTTTTAATACTGGGCTAGTTTCATTTATAACAGATGATAATCATTTTCTTTTCTTTATCTTTTTAATGTAGGCACGACTGTCGACATGGACAACAGCAGATGGCGATAGCAATCTTACGGCTGTAAAGGAATCATCGAGGGTGATAACGCTCTGACGTGTTTCCATCCCGAATGGCTGCTCAGGCAAACCCTGATTCCAAGAACTGTTTTCAAGATCGACGTAGTACATGGCCAGACTGTTTCTGTCCGTGATGGTGACCCCAAGGAGGAAGAGGTAAAAACCTTGAGCAGGTTGCAGAGATCTATGCAGACCAAGATAAAGAGTTGTGATTTTGCATCACATGACGACAGCTTTGACTTGTAAGTGTCCATTCTTGTACAACCTGTCTAGCGTCATAATTACATGGCTTATTTTCATCATGTGTCTTATAATGTGTGTGACAGGTGCGCTGCTTTTAGAAACTGTTCTCTTTTGGACACTGTAGACATGGTCATGGACACTCTTGAGAATAAGACCAATAACATCGTTTATGTCCAAAACATGGACCTGCCAGTGCCTCTTTCTACAACTGCCAATTCTTCCATGACCGAAATGGTGACGGGTCTGGAAGAGCTAGGCAACATGCCTATTTCTGGGATATCGAAGCCATCCGTTTATGTGGGACTGAATACTCTTTCTTCGGCTGCCACCGCGAAGACATGAGCTTCTGTGCCCTCAACCGCCACGTAGCTGGAGCACCCAAAGTTTGGTATGTGATTGTCTGTAGAGGGAGACTTCATTTTCGTTGCAGCCTACATGGCTAACTGACGTTTGAAGCACAGTGACTATAATGTATATTATGAAAGCAGTGATTTATCCATTTTTTCCATGTTTTTTGGTAGGCTTTGTGTACCTCCCGCACACTACGGGGCGTTCTGCACTATGATCAGGAACCTGCCAATCCCTGTGGAACAGACTTCGCTACTGTGCCAAGTTCTCCATAAGGAGATTTGGATAGACCCAAGAATGGTCATTTCATGTGGAATACCAGTGTATCCGGTGAGTGTATATTACAGAATTCACGTTAGCTGACTCCCTTTGACCTTGTAATTAATTCCCTGCAATGACTGGTTGTATTTTTGTCTGTTATGTTGCAGATTGTTCAAATGCCACGGGACATTGTATTGCTGCTGCCCAACACTATACATTGGGGGTACAACATGGGTTTCAACGTGAATGAGGCTATAAATTTTGTAAATCGTAGCTGGATACCACCTGGAATGCTGTCACACCAGAGATGCAAGTGGTGAGTGGAATAAAGTAGGATACAATGTACATTATAAGTCAGTTGAGGGGTGGGGGTTATTGTATTACTGTGCAGTCCAGGCCATACAGGCCTCAGGGCAACACCATGCAGCTTTTGCCGTGATGCAGTTCTGTTTTCTTCTGCAATATCTGTCCATTTTGCAGTACTAAATGGTTTTGCCGATTTGAAATCCGACACATCCTTAGGGCACTCGGAGTTGAGGATAACGACCTCAGGACATGGGAGTCCGGAATGAAGTTGGACTTCATAAGAAGGTTGATAGAAGCCCAGCCTCTGTTGTACCCTCAACTCAGAGATCTGTATGAAGAGAAAGTAGACAGCAATTATCTTCTGGCAGACACTGAAGAAGAGCATGACGAGCAACACGAAATGTCACAAGCCGTCCGTCCGCAGACCCAAATGTACACAGTGCAAGTATTTCCCCGACAGGAAGAACAGCGATGCTGTGAAAAGAATCTACAATCATGCTGTACGTTGCCATGGTAAATTGGAGGCGGAAAAAATCAGGGATGAGATCATTGCCCAGTTTGGCCCTGCTGCAAGAAAATATAAGTGCAAAACTATGGTGTGTGGCATTTGCCAGGCCGAAATAAGAGGGAAGACGCAAACATGGTGGACCACGAAAACACCAAAAAGTGCAAGAATGCAGCTGAGGGACGTACGTCTGCATCCGTAGAATCTGCACCACGTACCAACAGGTCAAGACGGAAATGTAAGGATTCATAGCGTTGTATGTAGATGTAGAAGACATGTTTCACTTGCGTTTGCTTCTGGCTGATGATTTTTGTTTTATTTAATATTTTATTTAGTTTTTGTTCGCCTTGGACATAAATGTACAGGTAGCTGGATGTCAGCTGTCTCATGTAGCCATAGCATAATTCGAAAGGAATATCTCCCGCATTCCAATGGATGCCATGTATGACATTGGTCGTATAATTGTTCTGACGCATGTATTCGGAGGTTTCAGAGACTCGCAGTGTGGGGACTTGAACATCATTGTGTTGGTGATGTCCCATTTTGAGTTGTAGATACAGAACTCCTTAATGACATAGTTTCCCTCAGAATCTCTGAGCATTTGAATGTCACAGAAGCCGTGCGCCATGATGATCGAGATAAGGTGAGTGGAACGAGCGTCCCTACCCAACTGAATTACGGTCCGAGATCATCAGCGAGAGCTATCGGCGTGCACAGCACGTCTGTGAGCCGTTTATGACGCATGTGCGTTTTTTCCCAAACCATTTTTGAAAGAGTATTCGCACTTTCTCGTCGTTCTTTTCAGGGTCGGATGTAAAGTGTCTGTGTACAAACGATCGGAGGGAATACCCATGAGCCCTGTGTATGAGATAGAGTATTCAGTACTCTCCACACACCATGGAATCAATGGCTTGCAGTAATTTGTGATTATATGCCCATTTTTTAAAGTGTTTTTTAAGAAATCTCTTATGCTGGCGTACCAGGGGCGGCATGCCGTAAGAGTCCCAGTATTCACTGACACCGTGCTTATCAACGTAGAACGCTATCCAGTGTTGTCCGGGTTTCGAAATAGGATCCGTGTTACAGACGAGTAAAGCAGGCTGCTTCCTCAGGGTTTGAGGCAGAGTACCGGCTGCAAACACCCCCTCGAAGAGTGGGGCGACGTGCCTATCTCTTTTCATTAGGGTTTCTATGGTCAGACCATCCATTATCAAACACTAAAGTCGGTAATGATGTTTCGGTCTTTATCGATTTCGATTAGATTTTGAAACTCGGCGTAAATGATGGCATTGACCGGAGCGGCCAGTGGAGCTGCGAAACGAACGTCGATGCGCAGGGAGCCTTGTCTCTGAAGGTTCCAGTGGGAGCTGCTTGCAGAGAGGTCGGGCGACAGATCGAATGCGTAGAGTGCGGTCCCTCTGGCATATTCCCTCCAATTCATATGATTTCCCTCGTCTTTCCAGTGGATCCCCGTCCCCGTGAAGAGGGTGTCGTAGCAGTCCATGTATAGATCGTTTGCATAATCGGGTGTTAGCGGCTGGCTCGGAATAGGGCCGCCGTCAGTTTGTGCCTGTATGGAACTGACATTAAAGTGTTGAAAGTTCCAAGGATTGCGTCTGCAATCTCCATTGAAGGCCCGATTGTCAACAAAACCAACAACAAATCTCATGGGGAGATGAGGCGGAAACAGGTTGTCAATAGCTTTGTCACGGACCCCTTGGGCGAGGGTGACTATTTTAACACATATTTTGTGTTCCCTTCCAGGCCCAGAGAGTGACCGGTTGTGGAGCTTACAGATTTAGAATTCGTCAAGAAGAGCAACAAGGTAACAGTTAAAGTTTGTAGTGCACAGGAATTAAAAATGGGTACACTGTCACTGTCAAAACAACTCGCAGTTGAAGAACTGTATATCACTGTCAATTGTCAAACCTATTAAAAATCTAAATCAAGAACCTATCTTGAAAGCAGATGATACAAATTTAAGAATAGGTCTGTCTTCAACTTTTCTCTGATATTCAGGTATTGATTATGGCTGCTTGTTATGACTCGCAAATTTTTAATTCGGCGTACTTGTGGCGTTGATGAGATACGGACGGGACAGAGCATAGCGGCTGGCGTCGGTGGCCTAGTATTGTTGTACAGGGACGCGGGGCCTGCTCCTGCTCCCGCCCCCTGCCCTGCCTGACGCTGTATTGTTGGGTAGGGGAAGGGGCCTGAAGCGACGCTCGGACAGCCAGCCACTCACTGATTCCCCTAGCGATGTTAATATTGGTAATTCTTTTTCCTTTGTAGCGGCGCTCATACTTCCGCCTCTCCACAGACCGGTCAGCAGATAATGATGCTAATATGATGCCACCCTGGACCTATAATGTGGAAAATGAAGTTGTAGTTAACTCCACACTGCCAGATATTGACGACAGATCATGTATCTTGGGCTTCATGACTGATGTGGTTGTCACTCGGTTCATAGAGGGTGATTCTCAGAATACGGGCCATTTGGGAGTTCCTAACATTTTAATTTTTTTTGTCGAATTTGCAAGGTTTTTGGGTCGCAATGGTTTTATTTACCTTCAAATAAGATACGTGTAAAGTGGCGATAGTTCACATCACGTACTTCTAGTACAACGTTAAAAGACCATATTGTGGTCACGTTCAATCAATGACAAAACTAAAATTTTGCTCCCGCACCTTTTAATTAGTCTTTTGTTTGCTCCACTAGTGTG